GTGATATTGAACATTTTTTCATGTGTTTTTTGATCATTTGTATGTCTTCCTTGGAGAGTTGCTTGTTTAGGTCTTCTGCCCATTTTTGGATTGGGTTGTTTATTTTTTTCTTATTGAGTCGTATGAGCTGCTTATAACAAATATTTTACCTGTTTATGATATTCCACATAGACTAGTTTTTAAAAACAAGCACAGAAAATCTGTGGGCTCTTATTTGTTTATACTCAGAAGCATAAATGAAAATTTAATCTAACTTTTAAAAACCAGAGTAATTTTAAGTGATTAAATATAGTTCATTCAAGAGTGTGAAGAATGTTTGGTTCAGTGAAATGTAATCAATGTAAGTTAATTAGCCAAAGATATTAAGGGTTCTTTTTCATTGTTACTTTAATAAAGTGACAAAGGAATTGTGACTATATGATCCTGTAACCACCTGTTTTCCCTGTGCTCTGTTGTTGTTTGTTTACAGTATAAAAGTGATATGGAAAATTGTGGTAATGACAGGATTCATTGAATTCATGGCCCAAAGATGACTTGGTGCCTAAAGTATATGGTTTTATTTGTTTTGCTTACTTCTCTACAAGTTGCTAATATAGGAGACTAAAGGAAAATTACCCATTTTACCAAAACAGATACATTTCCCAGATTTAATTTCTTAATCTTTTCCTCCTGCTTATAAAGTTTATACATACTCAAGCATAAGGAAAGAAATATGTAATGTAGAAAGAAAAAACTGCCACTAACATTTTTTTCTATAATCTTCTAAATTTTTTCCATGCTATAAAAATGCATACCTATTTTTAATAATTTTATTTTTTCCTTTTAATTTTATTGAAGTATATCCAACATGCAATATTTTATTAGTTTCAGGTGTACCACATAGTGATTCAGCAGTTAAGTACATTGTGAGTTGATCACCACAGTAAGTCTGCTAAAGGGCAGTCACCACACAGAGTTACTGCAGCACTACTGACTCTAGTGTGCCGTTCATTACATCTCCATGACTGACTTATTTTATGACTGGAAGTTTGTACCTTGTAATCTCCTTCACCTATTTTGCCCAACCCCACCCCCCTTCTTTGGCAACTTACCAGTTTGTTCTGTGTATCTGTGAGTTAGTTCCTGATTTGTTTTGTTTTTTAGTTTCCATATACAGGTAAAATCATATGGTATTTATCTTTCTCCATCTTTCTTACTTAGCATAATACCCTCTAGGTCCATCCGTGTTGTCCCAAATGGCAAGATTTTATTTTAGATATACACTATATCTTTATCCATTCACCTTGGACATTTAGATTGCTTTGATATTTTGGCTGTTGTAAATAATGCTGCTGTGAACATAGAGATGCAGATGTCTTTTCAAATTAATGTTTTTGTTTTCTTCAGATAAATCTGAATCATACAGTAGTTCTTTTTTCAATTTTTTGAGAAACCTCTATAATTTTCCATAGTGGCTGTACCAGTTTACATTTCCACCAGCAGTACATGAGGGTTCTGTTTTTTCCACGTCCTCATCCATGCTTGTCATTTATTTATTTACTTTTTGATGATAGCCGTGCTGACTGGTGTGAGGTGGCATCTCATTGTGTTTTTAACTTGCATCTTCCTAATGATGGGTGATGTTGGGTGTCTTTTCATGTGCCTGTTTGCCATCTGTGTGTTTTCCTTTTTTCGATGTTGAGCTGTGTGAGTTCTTTACATATTTTGTATATTACTTCCTTATCAGGTATATTTCTGCAAATATCTTCTCCTATTCAGTAGATTGCCGTTTCATTTTGTTGATAGTTTCCCTCACTGTGCAAAAGCTTTTTAGTTTGGTGTAGTCTGTTTATTTATTTTTTTATTTTGTTGCCTTTGCCTGAGGAGACAGATCCAAAAAATATTGCTGAGACCCAAATCAAAGAACTACTGCTTGTGTGTTCTCCTAGGACTTTGTTTCTTTATCCTTACATTCAAGTCTTCAGTCCATTTTGAATTTATTTTTGGATATGGTGTAAGAAAGTGGTCCAGTTTGATTCTTTTGCACGTAGTTGCCTAGTTTTCTCAACATTATTTATTGAAGAGCCTGTCTTTTCCCCAGTGTATATGCTTGGAACACTATTTACTGTTAATTATGAAAATTTAGTCTTAGTGGCTAATTTAGTTTATTTGGAAGAGTTCAAGTACAGTATTTTGAGAACGTCTGGTTTGGGTGTGAGAAAAGAAAGCACCCTGGAAACCTTGAATGAAATGAGCAAGCAGTGGGACTAGAAAGGTATTTACCCCGAAATGCAAATCATCATGAATAAAATAAAGAAATAAATACTTAAAATAAACCAAGAGGGGAATAAAAGACTACAGTTGGTATTTTGAATAGGGATAGGATTACTCTTTTATTTCTAATGCTCATCTTTTGTATATCTTACTAGAATTTCAAGGATAGAGTGAATAAAAATTAATATGCTTAAATTTTCAAGAATTTTTTTAGGTTCTCTTAACGTAGTTATCTTCTATAAACATGATTCTAAATACCTGTTATCAAGAAATGTTGGGATAAAATTCAGATATTACATGATGTTTGTCTTTACCAGGTTTCTTATAATTGTTGATTTGATATCTAATTTAAAATTTTGACTTTAGACTGAAAATATTCCTGTGGTTAGAAGACCTGACCGAAAAGATCTACTTGGATATCTTAATGGTGAAGCATGTGAGTAATTTTTGAATTGTTCTCACTCTTAAATAGACATTGTTTCTTTTTTTCACCCTGTGAGATAAGAATCAGTGGGAAGAGAATCTGTATTCCCAGTAAAAAATTACCTCCTCTACAGCCATGTCCCTGTGCTTGCTTCTTTCCTGTCGCAGCGAACGCACTGTCTTTACTCTTGAGACCAGTCCTCGTGTATGGAGTCCGTCTCCTTTCACACTGTCAGAGACTCTGCCTTTGTAAATTTTTGCTTCTCTCTTGCATCCTGCATCATTCTGATTATTCCCTTTGGAATATGTAAGGTAATATATCTCATTAAAAATTTCAACCTCCCCCCACCTTCCTTCTCTCTACTGCTCCACTTATCTTCTTTTTGTTACAAAATTCTTTGCAGGAGTTGTGTGGTATCCTGCTTCCTCTTTTCCCTGGTTCTCGGATCTCCTCCAGCGTGACTTTCCTCACCATCTTGCTGAAATCACTCTTACAAGTTCAGTACTGACTTAAGGATTGCTGATTGGTCTCTCCTATTTCACAGCTAACTTGATCTCTCAGCAGCATTTGACACTGTTGACTACTCACTCCTTTTGGAAGCTATTCTTCACTTGGCATTTGGGGCACCAGACTCTTGAGGTTCTCTTCCTACTCATTGTCCACCTCATTTTTTTACTTGCTTCCTTATTTTTAATGCATTCCTGAGGTTCTGATTTACAGATTCATTGTCGGCATCTTCCCTTGGACATTCAGCAGGCATCTGAAATTGAATGTCTCTAAAACAGAGTGCCAATTCCTCCCTCCCTTCTCCCTGCAGAACTGAAACAGCAAGTCCATTCTCCCAGTGCTCCCACCTCAGTAACCAGTGTCCCATTCGTGTAGCTGCTTAGGTCAAGAAATCAGAGATTTCTCTCCCATCTCACGTCGATTCCATCAGCACGTCCTCTTTCTTTACCCTCAGAGGTATGACAGCTTTGACCGCTGTCTCCCTGCCGCTCCATCCTCCCTCTTCAGACTGCGGCATGGCTCTCTAGGGGCCCTCATTCTTTGTTTCCTACAGTGTAGCCTCTGCTTCCCAGAGATGGACCTGTTTTTGAAAAAGCCTATAAGCCTGGCCATGTCCCTCCCCTGCTCAAGGCCATCCCGATTGAACCCATCACACTGAGAATAAGGCTCACACTCCTCACCCTGACCTCCGTGGTCCTGCGTCGGCCCGCGTCTCTGTGACCTGTCTTCTGCCAATCTTCTCTGCTCACCGGAGTCCAGTCTCACCGGTGCTCTTGGCTTGCCTAACCTTGGAGCCTTTGCACTTGCTCTTCCCTCTGTTAAATTCTGTTACTCTACGTTGTCACATGGCTCACTTCTTACTACCTCCTTCGGAGCTGTGCTCATCACTTCTTACTACCTCCTTCGGAGCTGTGCTCA